TATTTTGTTTCAGGAGATTATGCTCCTGTAATCTTGATATAATTATAATTATATAAATGAAAAAAAACGTGTTATATTGTTTTCAGTATTAAATACAGAAAAATTAAAGAATTCATGTGAAATGCAATTTTTTCTTAATGAACTGCAGTTGTTTGAAAATAAATGACGCAAGAACACAAACCCATCACACTTAAAAAAGCGTTTTACATGGGCATGTTCATTATACGTAACAAAAGCAACACAACTCATTGATGCAGTCAAATATGCATTTCTTCCTTGAAACAAACTTGCTTTACAACAATGCTCAGTTAAAGGTGTATGTGTGAAGTTAACGTTATAATTACATGAGAACACCTTGTATTAATAAATTAACAATGTACAGTCCAGTTCATTCAACGACATATGATTTTGTAACTTGTGAGCAACACGTATGACAATATAAACATTCACATTTTCAATTAACCATCAGATGAAATGAGATCAATCTTCGTATTTTTAGTATCATTTCCTGCAGTTTCCTTTAAAGCATAAAGCTGCATTAGCTGTTTGTACAATAAGTCCATCTAAAGTAATCATTAATCAATTACTTTTGCCTGAATGTACCTAATCAGGATTTTATTGATCTTAGGAGGCTGGTGAGATGATTTGTCGAAGTTTCTGTTCAGCTTTTACAAAAAAGGCAAATTCTTTGATACTTTAGTTAATTACAAATAGGTTAGTACGTAATATTCTTTTTCAGGTCAGTATCAAGAATAAGAAGAACAATGGATACATATTTTACTGTAAATTTTTAAATTTTATTTTTCAATAAAATCCATTGAGAAAAATATATACGTATATGCATATATATTACAGTATTTAACTAAATGTAAATATTATGAAATTAAATGTCATGACAATGTCAGTGCTTTGTCTGTTTTACTCTGTGTCGTTGAGGTTTTTGTTGTTGTTGTTGTTGTTTTTAAATACATACTGTATTTTAGTACACATTACACTGAATAAAGGTAAAAGAAAACCAACTGTCCGAACAAAATAGAAAAGTTTGTTTTAAACATCTTTCTTTAAAATCGGGAAAGACCAGTTTTTAATATGGTTGTTCTTTGAGGGTCACTCCATTTAACAAATATTTAATAGCATTGTATTATATTTTTATTCCTGCACTTATTAGTTATTGAAAGGGAATTTAACATGTTTTAAATCAAATCGTTTTTAATGAAATTGCATACAGATTTGAAAGATATAAATATATATGCTGACACAGCCTCCGAATCAAAAAAGTATTTTTATACTTGTATTTCAAATTTAGTGTTAGTTATTATAAAATAAGCCTCGTCACGACAAAACCAACATAATGGGTTTGCGAACAGCATGGATCCAGACCAGCCTGCGCATCCGCGCAGTCTGATCAGGATCCATGCTGTTCGCTTACCAACCCTATTACAAGTAGAGAAACTGATAGCGAACAGCATGGATCTTGATCAAACTGCGTGGATGTGCAGGCTGGTCTGGATCTATGCTGGGCGCAAACGCACTATGTTGGTTTTGTCGTGACGCGGCTAAATGTGAATCGCTGATGAACAATGGGAATGAACATAGTATTTTATGTCAATTATGCCACTCTTATTTTGCTGACGACAGAAGTCAATGCTGTGTGCCAATTTGTTTTTCTGTTGATGCCATGCACCGATCATATAATGAAATCAATTTACATAATTGCAGGATATAACTTGACATCTTTTAGATTGATTGATTGATTGATTATATTTTTAAGAAAAAAATATCCAATGCTCATGTATATTTTTCTACTCTTTTGATAAATAGCACCGTGATGCATAAAATGGCTTTCTTCTAATTGGTCAATTGCTTATGATTATCTTAATTCTGTAATGCAAATAAATTACCATATAACATAAACGTTATCAATTTTTTAAAGAGAAAAATGACAATAAATTAACATTTCTGGCTCAAAACCTGTCATCAACAACCAATATTTTTCTCTTCCAAAGAGCTTTGCTCTGCGGAGGTAGTATTTTTTGTGAATTTGAATTAAACAAAACTATTTCCCTAAAGTAACAAACCGTTTTGCTTTATATATTTAAACATTCTGACAATAAGATGATTCCTCTGAGATAAATAAAAACAAAAACATAAACAGTTGAACGCTTCGTTTTTTAGTCAATCTTTCTTGAAATACCAATTGTAAGTGCGACATGTCTCACGTTCTCGCACTTGCTTCAACATTATATTTCAATATACGTAGAGTAGTCTACATTTAATTTTAATGATAAAGTATCATGACTAAAATTAGTTTGGTGATTAAGGATAAAAATGGTCATAACTTAATGTATGTTTCAATCGCTTTACCCGTATATCATGGCCACTGAGGAATACAGAACCTAGCAGTTTGGCAATTTATTTGCCTGTCAATTGCATTTACAACTCAACTAACACATAAAATTGAAACAATCAATACAAATAACAAGACAAATAAGAATAAGTGCCATGTCATTTTGTCTCCAGTAATTAATCAGTCAGTCAACAAGAACATCTTCATATCTACTTAACTTACAGGATAATTGGTATTGGAGATTTGTAGATTGTTTAAATACTTCTTTGAAGTATTATTCTATTTTATGCACCCAAATTAACATCAAAGTTCAGCGAATGACATTATTTTAGTATTATGCAAGTTATCAGTGACAATTCTTTCATTCAATTGTATGTAATGTCTATTGTTTATATTGATAATGGCATAGTACTTCAGTAACTTTTTGTTTCAAATACGTAAAACATATTGTTTCCATTACGAATACGTGATGAAATATGTATTTTTGAATATAAAAATGTTACTCTATATAAAATGTTATATATAATATACATGTACAGAAAAAATGTTAAGTGTTGCTTTAGACAATGAAAATTAATTATTATACTATAATGACAAGTTATAAAATAATCTTGTCTGATGTTATCTCTAACATTTAAGGTAAAATAGAAAACAAAAGAAAACTTTAAATAGTGTCTGTGCAAAAGTGTTACTTTTGTTTGGCAATATCAATGTTTAAATTTAATGCACACAGACACCTGCATGCTCTTAATTTGATTTGACTTCTTGACTTCATTTTTATTGCACTCGACCAGCTTTCAAATAAAACATTTATAGAGATGAACATTCTGTCAATGTATCACAAAGACCAGAACGTATTTTGACTTTTGAATTATGTCTTATGTATTTTGACTTTTGTATTATGTCTTATGTATTTTGACTTTTGTATTATGTATTTTGACTTTTGTATTATGTCTTATGTATTTTGACTTTTGTATTATGTCTTATGTATTTTGACTTTTGTATTTTGTATCATGACATATGTAATACGGCTTATGTATTGTGTATTACGGGTTAAGAAGTATGCATCATTTGATTTATACAGACATGTAAGAAGTAAGAAGTCTCGCAGCTTGCTCATCTATTACCCTATCTCCTTGGTGATAATTTTACTTGCGAATACTAAATTTGACTGCTATTTGCATGTCGGTTCTGTGCCAAAATAATCATAAATGTTCAAACTGTTTTCTACAACTGAATCTTAGTGCTTCGAATTATTTTGTTAATAGAATAAAAGAAGATTTTGCATGTAGGTTATTTACAGTGTTTATTTTTATATTATGTAGTCAAACATTGCAAAAATGCTTTAGAAGAATGAAAAGTCAAACATTTGTTATTTGTCATTTTCAAGAAATCTTTATCGATTTGGTAGAACCATTTCATGTATCAGATCATTCTTTAAGTGATTTTACATTTCCACCTATTGATCATGTTTAGAAAAAAACAACAAAGAATTGGCTTCAAAATGTCATATTTTAAATTATAAAAAAAATCCTTGTTTTCACCATAGATTCCTCAATATCAGATTAATAATTATCATTTATTGTACTCTTTGTATTTTCACATATTAATATACATTTATAGTAAAGTTTCATTACATAAAACATTCAATTTGGAGAGGAAAAAAGTAATATTTTGAATGATTACATACTACAAGCTGTCTTATTTTTCATATTAATTACATATCATTGCATGTATATATAGTGATATCAAAATACAACTGATTCAGGTACTCTCATATTTCATTCCTCCACAAAATATGATAAACAAAATCAACAAGTTAAGGCAGCGTTCAATGAACGCAAAAAAGACAATAGTGTGAAACTTCTTATTTATTTATATTTGAATAAGTTATGCTGAATTAATGCAATTGAATCAACCATTTCACTTAACTTGATTTTTATATTAATAAGGATTATATGGCACGTAAACTGACAAAAGAACAAAGTTGTACATGCACAAAGTATCATAGTAGATGACTTTAAGCATTAAAGATGCATGCCTCCAGATGAGTCAAAATGTTTAAAAAAAAACACTCAAACTTAAGATAAATATGCTAAGATTTTAAGAAAAGTAAAGAGATTCAAGAATTAAGTTATAATTTACATGTTGGGATAAATCACTGGTATTGCAGTATGCATCACCATAATTCTCCTAACGCGTAACGAAAGGGCTATATTTGCCAATTTAACCACCTTTGCTAATTTACGATTGTAAGTAGATTATTACTTTGTTCATAACAATATTTTCTTTTCATAATATTCATGAGAATTTTTATGAATGTTTGAAGTATGCTGCTTTAAAAGTTAAAGAGTTATTCAAATCCTTAATTATTATATATTAAATCATGACTCAGATATAGATGTACATATATGAAGACTGTTTTTTCTAAACTAAAATGATTATTTTTGTTGCAAGTTTAAGGCATGGGACATGTTCTTCACACTTCTTTAGGAGGACCCAGCAACTACCAAAGCAAAATTTATTTGGTAAAACATCATTATTCAGTATCTAGGGATTTGTACTTATAAATCATAAACCTGTTTCTTGAAAAAATACTTGTATTTTCCATTGTAAACAGAGTAACGTAACAGACTGAATGTCTCATTTTTACCTTTTTTGGATTTTCCATCATAAGCTGTTTCTTCTTCTTTTTTTGCCCTGCTATATTTTTAACTAGCTCCTTAATTCGTTTTCTTCTCACATTTTCCTGTAGGAGAAATAATGTATATTTCATACAGAATATTGCAAGAATCAAGTTTCACAAATGTATCAAAATGTGTCTGTCTTGCAAGAATCTTGTTACTTAATCTAACAAATAATATTCATTCATAAATCAGATGACCAATAATGGAATAAGACCTAGAAAACCAATCAAAACAATTTTCCTGGCAAATCTTCATAAAATTTGCGGTGAAAACGTAAATTCTAGAGAGTTAAGATTTAGGGCACTGTAAACTACTTTTTCTCACGAAATGAAATGGTCCATATTAGGACTCGTCCGAGAAATATTTGGGACAAACATCCTGACCATGTTCAACAGAGGCAAAGGAGTGACCATCAGTGTATTAATGTGGATGGACATTCATAAAACCTTACTAAGCCACTGTTTGACTGATGTGTTCTAAAAAAAAGAACCTGATATTGAGACAACTTTGCAATTAGAATCGAGGTGAAAAGTAAAACTATAAAAGAGCAAGATGGTTCTAAAATGTACGTCAGTGTTGGTATACTTTTCTGGCCCTTCGTGATCATTGATGCCAGCAGTATTAAGTGTGGATAATTGAGTACCGCTCAAGACGGTGCAAGGGGGCGTGAGGGATGTTGCACTTATTCATTATCCCTCATGTACAGATTCAATCAAACTGAGTCTGCAATTTTCGCGTAATTTTGTTGTGATTAATGCTTCAGGGGGATCACTTTGTTTCCATTTTTTTCTTTTCAGTGATACACATGCCAGTGAAGAGCTTGGAAGTTGAATTCCTTTTATTAACAAAACAATATTTTGAAATTTGGAATAATTTTTATATATCTTTATAATTACATTTTCACACATAAATCATGCTTTGTTGTTTGCTACAAAATTCAAATTCTCCGTAAGTGAGATACCAGGTGATAATAGCCGTTTCACTGAGTCACTGAGTGTATAGTGAGATATCTCACAGATGGCGGGAAAATGCAAGGGTTTCCAATACACTTTTTCTCCCAAACCTTTCCTTTTTGTAAATATTTACAAAGGTACTTTATGTTTATCTTTCCATAAATCTACTTCAAATGTTATGTTTCTCAAAATCAAAACTGACATTCCTCGCTTTTGTTATCCAATTCAGTTCTAGAGAACAATAATCCTGCTGGTCAGTTTTTTTTAATTGATTTTGTTATTGTAACTGCTTTAAAAACACTCATTAAAGGCAGTTTTAAATTAAAGTGTAGCATTCTTATAAGTACTACATTATAACATTTATACATGTCTCATATAAAGTTGTGTTATCAATTGTTATTAGCCTATGACACAGAAAGTGTTACTTCGATATGATTTTGAAATAGATATTGTTATTTTATTCTTGATAAATTATCAGTAATAATTCCTTGAATCATTTAGTGGTCTCCTGAATAAACTTGTTACACATGACTAGATTATTCCAAGTGTTGTGACTTATCAGTTCATACCGGGTCAACATTGCATCATTTTATATCTCACCTTACAGTTAATTAGCCAGCAACTTGAAAGATGTAGATAAAAGTGATTTATATTTTCCCTGTTGTTCGCATAGTTTCTATACAGACCATAGTACAGAACAAAATATACAAACTGAATTAAAGATAAAACTCTAGAAATTTAAATGATGAATTATAGATATTTTTGAAATTTTATGTGCTGTAAAAAATCATTGAGTAAAATATGATCAGACCTATAAATATTCTTTAATGTTATTGCTGTTTCTCAAAATACACATCACCTTACCACACATTACGTGTTATATATGCTAACTGGCTTTAATGACGCTGTTTCTGCCAAGTGGGACCAGTCCTTTATTAAGCCGTCAAGTGTATCATAATCCATGCTTTTTTAGGGAAATGAACCTTATTCCGCTTTTACACTCATGAATTAAGTTTATCTATCTTTGAAATTTGATTCTTATGACAAGCATTATGCGTGCTAACATAAAAAAACAGGTGGCCATAGTAAATCATGATGTTTGCAAACCTCAAAGCAGTAAAATCACTTATTAATTAATCTTGGATATTTTTATTTATTTCCTTACTATTTCAACTCAAAGAAAGTCAAAATATATTGTTCAAGTGATTGCACAGGTTAATGAACAGATATGGTGAGATAACACTGTGAGGAGTGCTTTGCACTAACAGCAGGAATATTTACCTGTTAAATTGTCTAAATTTTGTACTCTTGATGAAATCTTTGTAGTTTTAGCTGATACATGAATCGGAGCAAGTATGTGCTATAAATAAATAGCATAAATAGTGTTCGCTATAAACAAACAATAATACATTGAGAAATAAGCTTGTATAAGGAAGCCTATAACTGTTTACATTTCAACACTTACCAAATTGTCTTCTGTTTCACTATCAGATTTACCAAAATGGGCGCATGTGATGAAACTAGCCTTTTTGCCGCCTTTTTTGTCAAGTCATAATACATAAGACAAAAGTCATAATACATAAGTCATTAGTCATAAGACAAAAGTCCTAAGACAAAATGGCACTTATGGGCTTCCGTAGGATACATTCAATTTATTACATAGATAATACACGTGGAGCTCAGCTCGCAGATACAAATGAGTACACAGTAACTTTTTGATATCGTTTTAACTCTAAGAAAAATGTCGATTATTAATTGCTGACTGTTTATATTTTCTAGAAAAAGTAAGCAAAACATTATTTTGTTTCATATGACAGGAATGAATTGCATTAACAATCCTAGGTATTGTTGAAAAAACTCATTGTTTTACTTGCCAGATTAAGTAATTGGATCCCCCATCCTTGTTTGTACGCGACTGCTCGGGAAAAACATTGTTATGCTTAATAAAAGAGGTAACACTTTCTATATTTTTATCTGATATCAAGTTGTAAGAGCCAATTTTGCAGTTATATGGGTAAGAGTTCGATAAGACTCCCTACGGTCGTCTTAATACAAACTCTAACCCATACATATCGTGTGTGACGCAATGTAAAATATTTTTTAAATGATGAAAAAAGAGTTAATATTTTACCCGGATCTCCTGGATGGAGGAAAGAAAATTCATGATTTATTTTTGTGTGCGTGTCATATTCATGTTAGCGTACAAATAAATGCAATATGCAGACAAACAATTTCTAAAGTCATAAGAATAAAGGAAATGTATTTTGAAATATGTTTAAGAGTCAAAATTTATTGTAACAAATATCAATTAGCATGCATTCAAAGATTTGAGAGTTTAGTTAACATAACAAAATTCTAATAATTTTCCATTCAACACATAAAGAAGCATCATTCTATTTTGTAGCATAACGGTTCACAGATGCAAAAAAGGTTTATGTAATTTCATATTTTGACATCTTATTAAATGTATGAGTACTTATTTTCACACTTTTTCTCTCGGGAAATAACAATAAAATATCAAGTTATTGTAGCTGCTTCTACTTCAAATCGAAGAAACAAAATATTTCCTACCATCAAACTGTCGACCTATTTCCTGTTTTGTCTTACTTTCCTACATCTGTGATTTACTAAGTAATTATAACAGAAAATAAAAATCCTCGAGTTACTTTAAACCTAACAGTAAAACAGACCAATTTAAACTTTTAACGTTCTAGGAAATGCCATGTGCATTGAAAAGCTTTTTTTTTCTAAAAGAGATTTAAAAACTGATTGTTTTGCGGATTATGTGAATTGAAATTCTTAAGAAAGAGGAACGGTATTTAGTAGTTGCTAAATCTTCTCTGTTAATGTTTAATACTTTTGATTGTTTTAAGTCACTAGGAATACCATGTACATTATAAAAATATTAAAGACCAGATTTTCAATCAATTTTCACGAATCATCATGTTTTTAATAATGAACAAACAATAACTCTGAAAAGAGATTAAAAAAACGGACAAGAGCTTTGGAATCACCTAGAACACTTCCCTGATAGGTACAATATCCCAATTTATTCACATAGATTGAACTTGACTGAAAATGTGCCTACAATAAACTTGGTCCGGAAAAGATCCGTTTCATATATTGAGAATTTTATGCTTGTTATAACATCTTTCTGAGTCATGAGAAGCACCTAATTTCATACTCGTTTCTGGTTTCATAATAGGCGTCTGGTTTTCACGCCGATGTACATTTGTCATCATGCTACTCTTGAACCTGTTATGGTTTTTTAATCTATATTCAAATGTTTCCTTTACTTGAAAATGCACATTGGTCACACATATAAAGTATACAATATCTTTAATATTTATCATTTTAACACTCAAACATTATTTGCGTTATAAAAAAAATAATTGCTGTCATAAATAAGTTAATGACATAAATTGATTTTTCATCTTCAGGAACATTATCAGTTACTTTTCCAATCATATTTTAAACTTGCTTTGACTGCATTTTATGAATATATTAAACATTTTCCGTCGACATAGAAACATAAAAAGCAAGCATTCTATAGTTTCATTAGCCTTTTTAACAGTATTTTTGTAAAACTCATAAAATAACTTTAATAAATTATAATTTTAAAAGGAAATCCCCATAGTAACACTAAAGTTATCATATGAATTTTAACATGCACATCAGCTCGTGCATGTGCTGCGCCAATTTTATTACCGAAATGAAGCTACTTCCGTTTTTATGAAATTTATAAAATGCAGCTTTAAATCACTCCTACATTATAAAAGATATGATTAATTAGTGAAATATTCTTGAATACAAACTTAATATTTTGATATCATTGTTCATTAAAGTGTTCTTTACACATCAAGAGAACGAATATAAATTAATTACTTAAGAGAAATACGATGCGTCAATTCTATCTTTTAGAGGGCATCTGTGTCCATTAGCATAAATGAATAAATGTTGACTACCATTAACAACAATCAGACGCTCATTCAAATTTGTCTTGTTATTTGTATTGATTATTTCAATTTTACTTGTTCACTGAGTTGTTAATGTCACTGACAGGCAAATAAATTGTCACCCTGATTAGGTCTGTATCCCACATTGAACATGTTATACGGGTAAAGCGATTGAAACATAGATTACATAAACACCAGTTTTATCTTCAATCACCGTATTAATTTTCGTCATGATAATATATCACTAAAATTATTGATTGACTATTGTACGTTTAATGTTGAAGTTTGCGTATTGTTGAAGCTAGCGCTGGGGCGTGAGAGTTGTTGCACCTTTTTCTTTCTTAACAAAAACGGAACTCATAACTTTCAACTGTTTGTGTTTTCTTTTACTTTATTAAGTGTCTGTGTACTACAGTACGAGTATGTATAAAAAACAACAATAACAACACAGAGTTAATCAGACATAGCACTGACATTGTCATAACATTTGATTTTACGATAAAATATTTCATAATATTTAAATGTAAAAGAAAGTAATACATGCATATATTTTTTAACGGATTTCATTGAAACAAATCAAAATCTTTTGGCGTTTAAAGAATGTTGATTCTGTTGATTCAAATATAATTTGCAGTAAAACATGTTTCCTTTCTTCTTCTTATTCTGGATACTGACTCAAATAAGAATAATATTTACTAACCTATTTGTAAGTATATGTAAGTAACCTATCAAAGAATTTGCCTTTTTGTAAAAGCTGAACAGAAACTTCGACAAATCATCTCACCAGCCTCCTAAGATCAATAAAATCCTGATTAGGTACATTCAGGCAAAAGTAATTGATTAATGATTACTTTAGATGGACTTATTGTACAAACAGCTAATGCAGCTTTATGCTTTAAAGGAAACTGCAGGAAATGATACTGAAAAACAAATATTGATCTTATTCTTTTTGATGTTTAATTGACAATGTGAAAGTTTATATTTTCATCCGTGTAGCTCACGAGTTATATCATCATATATTGTCCAATGGACTATACAATGTTTATTTGATAATACAATGTGTTTTCATCTAATCATAACGCTCTATTAACATGTAGCTGAAAATAGTTGCATCTTATTGAAATCAGATATGTTTCAAGAATTAAATGCATATTTGATTATATAAATGACCTGTGCTTCTTTCGTTAAAATGAACATGCTCATGTACTCATTACATGTAAATTTCCTGAGAGAAAGCAAATTACATGAATCATCACGAGAGTTTGTTCTCTGACTTTGGATTCTTTATAAAAATTTGATCCAAACCTAACTGTAAATATAATATATAAATTATATTGTTTTAAAGTTTTGCTTTAAGTTCGCTGTTAAGTGACTCTTTTTGCGTATAAAATAATCTGCTAAAAAGTTCACTTATTTTCGGGACTTGTTTTAAACAGAATTTAATAAATTGAATGGTCAAATGTGGAGAAAAGTATTCGTATGTATTTCAATATGAAAATATACAGTATTCCAAGATTAGTTTGTACTAGTCTCAATTATAGTTTTTTATAAATTTGTTTTGCCATAATATTTAAAATTATGTTCACCAAATTTATGTTATTTTAAAGTTTTTACTTTACATTTTCTAATTGTTCAATGATCAATTAAAGTGTAAAACCATCAGGACATTTGCGTTGGGATCTTGAAAAAAACAACAAAACAAAGTGCTACTTACATTCTACTTTCAAATAGCACACTTAAGATGTCTGATAAAGTATATTGAATTAATTATTTGAGTATTCAAAAAAAAAATATTTTAAACTTTTAAACTTTGAATGCGATCAAAAAGATAAGATTTATAGGCGCCAAATTAAAATGAAAAAGTTTGATTGTAACAGAGACGTCTGCATTAAATATAGCAATAAAAACAATGGTATACACAGATGAAATTTATCTCAATTGGCTTTGGAATCTGTGTGTTACATAATATTTACAACTTTTTTTTTTCGAAGGTTGTTTAAGAAAAAGGTAAAACAGATTATTATATCCTTTATATAAGATTCATGTGTTTTATTTGAATTGATGTTAATTCAATGCCACACGCCCAAAATACATGTATATTAAATGAATTGGAAAACGGAATGGAATAAGCAACCGGACTGCTATTATTCGTCAAAAATATAAAGAAATCATGAGGATTTTTTTATATATCATGATTTTGAGGAACGTTTAAATACAAAGTAATCGTGCTTCAAGTAATCGTGTTTCAAAGCATTGATGGCAACAAAATGATAGCTTGGATTGTCGTAATTTGGACATTTAGAAGATACCATGTTGATTTTGTTTTTAATTTAAATTATCTTTCTTTTTTATGTAGAAAATGAATTTGATGAACAAAAAATTTCATTTTTAAGATGCATTTTAATAACGTCCGCATGTAAGTTTGATTATTGTATACAATTATATTGATTTTCTTTCTAAATGATAATGTATGTTAAGTATTGGAAATAAATTCGTTTATAACGATAGTGCACAGCAAACATTCATTTGCCTCATAACCAGGTAAATATAAATATCACAATTAAAGGACAGCAACTGTGG